CCATTGGTCGACGAGCCCAGGTAGCTCAGTCGCGACCGGGAGAATGCGGCCTCCGCGGTCGTTGTGTTAGTGTTGCCAGAAACCGTAACCGCGAATAGGTGGATACGGCAGTGAGCGGAGCCAGGCGTCGAGGTGCCGGATTAGCCACGTACCACGTTGCAGGAGTCTTCGGGTGTTCGTGCCGGATTTCACGGTCGGGAAACCCGGCGTTTCCGGGCGTCGAGACGGGAAATCAGTGATGTAGTGATCGCAGAAATTAGGATTTTGGATACTCGATAACGACTGCCCGTAGAACAGGTGAGCGCTTTGTTTATGTTTACCTAGTCGGTCGTGTTTATCGGAGTGCTCATGGGTGGGGATGGTGATTCTCGAGGAAGGATCTTTTTCACCGAGCGGATTTGAATTATGGTATGCTGAGATCGGCGGTGAAAAATCGTTTTCTTCGATTTTTGGAATTGAATGCATGAAAAAACCACTAGTGACTCCGATTATATCATTTTCGGCAACGGTATTGAGAATTTGGAGCAACTTTCACAAAAACTGTTTGATTTTAATCGTTTACCGATGTGAATCATTAGTCGATTCCGAATGGTGGATCCCCCTAACTCGATACGATTTTTCGATGATTTGCGCCAAAAAATTGATTTTTTGAAATGTTGATTCAGCTCACCTATTCACTCCATGAATGTGAAAAAAAAAAAACATGTTTCCACGGTCTAATTTTGCTCACTCCTGATAGCAAGAACGTAACCATTATACCTCGAGTATATTTTGAATATTTATAGATACCATGGTTGATAGTAAAGCAGGCTTTTTACGTGAAATTAAAGTTTTTTCACCTTTAAAATGCTATACCATCAACCGTGGTGTTGACTTTAATTGTATATAATTTATATCTACTTCATGTGTTTTTTATGTGAAAATCTTCAGGATGTAAATTTTACAGTCTCTGCTTCTGCTACTTGAGATACACAGTCGTATTACAGACCCTCCTTGAATGCAAGGAGCCCACGTCCCACATCCCCACGCCCACATTGATTCTGAAAACCAGGAAAACACTCTTTATTTTTATTATTATGCTACAATACTTATAATTCTAATGCCATACAGAAGAAGAATTTGGCTTTTACTTCTATTTATTTTAATTTCTATTCATTTTTTTTTTTTTTGCAAAATTTTCCCGCGATTTTACCTTACCACTCTCCCTTCCCCCGAAAAGGTACCTATAGCTCGAGGATTTCAGCTGATATTCTCTTGAAAAAATGTGGTGGGAGCGAGTGTTTTTAAACAACACAACTTAGAGACATGTTTTTATCATCTTAAGTACCAATAATTCACTTATGAATTATGCTGGTGGTAGGGGTTTACACAGTTATTAGACAGAGTGTGGGTATAGTGCATCTGCTTACTTCTGGTGTAAAATTAAGTGCCCGCACTGAAAATATGAACTTCAGTGGTGAGAAAACTGTAAACTATTTTATTCAAAAATGAATTTTTAAGCGAAGGTGTGGAGCTTCATTTTGCGATTGGAAGTTGATCATAGTCGAAACTGCAGTGGCACTATATACATATTCTTATGATATTTTAGGTACGCATTTATTGTGGGTTTAATCGAAAATCCTAGATTTTGCAAGAACTCCAATTCAATCAATTCACCGTTGATTGATCTCAGTGTATTTCGATTAGACTAGTCTCTTTTTGCGGGTTGTTGTAGAGATCGCACTTATTTAGAAATTGGAAATCCCAGATCTCCAATGCTGTGCGTTCACTGGAAACTACCACCGACTATTAACTACATCAGACGTTTCTGAATCTCATCTATGGTTAATTCTTCTTTAAGAAAACTAAGCAACGATCTGCTTTGATATTTTTCAAGGAAGCGCATCATCCCAGAGGGAATTCAAAGAATGTTCCAAAGGCGTCATTTGGTTTAGTTTTTTGCTTAAAACAAGAAAATGTAGGAAAAAATCGGGCGACGTGAAACTCAGTTAGGCTGACTAAATATAACTGATTGACGGGGAGCGTCAGAATTTTTCGAACCCCAGTGTGCGACCAGTCGCCCGTTAGGACGTGCGATCGTTAATGAGAGCCGGAGTTGGATAGCAGATCTGCCGTGCTTAGAAAGAACGTCGTATGAACATTCGAGAGTTGTCAAATTTCCCTCGACAAAACATGCATTTTTGATTAAATTCACGCATATTTCTCCCTAAAATTTTCAGCTAGGTATTTTAGATGAAAATGCGTACAAAACTGTCTGAAAATTTCGGAAAAAAATACGCACAATTTTCTCAGTAAATTCGGTTTTTATCGAAGGAAATCTGGCACTGGCAACGCCTGAAGGCTCATACAGCGTTTTTCCTTAGCACGGTAGGATAGCACTGCCTTACTAAGGAAGAATGCCGTATGAACCTTCAGGGGTTGCCAAATTTCCTTCAATAAAACACGAATTTTCTGGTAAACTTGTGAATATATTCCTTTCAATTCTTCAGATAATTTTGTTCGCAATTTCACCTAAAGTCCCAGAAAATTTCAAGTAAAAATATTCATATCTTTTTTCAAAAATAAACATTTTATCCGAGGAAATGTGGGAACTCTCGAATGTTCATACGGCGTTCTTCCTTAGCACGACAGAGTAGGTGCGTGCGGGATCGAAGCAGAACACGAATCAACTCCCATTATTAATTTCTAAAAATTCGTGGCTCGGGATCGGAGAGGAGGCACGAAGCACATTTGCGCGCTCTGACCCTCATTAAGTAGCGGCGAATACTGAAAATCTGAGAGAGAGGCATTCGATTTTTTCCGCCTGCCTGATGATTCCGAGTACGTTTCAGAAAGTGAGTGCTCGTGCGACATTCTGGATGAGAGGAATATCACGGGTTACGTGCAGTTTAAACTGAGGAAGGGAAATGGCGTGAATGCACTTAAAAATGGACGTAGGTAACTGAGTAAATGGGATTTACATGTGGCAAAAAGCAGTCAGCAATTTGCAAGCGGCTTGCGCATTGCCTGCTACACTATGCATCGGCTCGAATCAGCAGTGGAACGACCTAATAGAAGAGATCGAACATGACAATTTCAGCTAAAATTTCAAATGTCGATCTTTATTTCGTCACAAATTCAATTCCAAGGGGTGTTCCTGAAAGGAACTTTCAACCACTCGAGCCAACGAAGAAACCAAGCGAGCTGCCCTTAAACTTTCTTGATTCATATTTCCGATAATATAAGATTTCAAAGTTACCAAATGTTGTCCGACTTCTCCCATTCACTCGATGTACTGTGCGGCACAATGAACGAGCTCAGTTCGGAGCGCCTTCATTTTCCTGCAACACTCCCCGCTTAACCACGCAGTCTTCTTGGTCCTAGTCATCAATTTGGACTCTTCCCAACTTAGTAAAGACACTATTTCCTCTACCTACGTCCGAGTGTGTTAGCTGCTACCATGCATTCAAGAGAAAAAACTTCTATTTCAATCCGACGCATAATAATCAGTAACACTAGCTTTTTATTTCTAAACGCTCATGCTTTACATTCATCACAGATGTCTATTAAAATTATGATCGACTGGCAAATTATCGGAATATTTAAAATAACGATAGTGCACTCAAGTCAGCACCAGAAGCGTTCGTTTTATTGAATTATGAAGGCACCAAAAAAGATAATTCGAGCACAACGTGACATCCAAGCCTTACAAGTCAACTGTATCACTCTCTTCTTTTTTTTGGAAAAAAGGCGACCTGACAACATTATAATGTACACAATGATGAACCTGTTCCGCTTTGATGGGCGCAGGACCAGGTAAAAATGGGGTTGTGCGTGTGGAGGTGAGGGAGGGGGAGGAAGGTGGAGGGGGAGAGGGTTGACGCGGGTGTTTACGGTGGCTCTCGGGATTAGGTGAGACCGGTCCCGGGTCCCCAAACCGCTATGGAGGCGCGGAAAGAAGAGCAAAGATTTGGAGCTGAAACTCGTAACAAATCAGGGGCTTGGAGGACAAGGCGCATAAGTGCAATTTTTGAAAAAATTGAGGTATTAATGATATCAAGTAAAACCGATCTTAATGTATATGCTGTGAAAAATTCGCTCCCAAATTCCGATTTTTCAGCATTAAAAAGTCAGTTTGAACTCTCTTTTAGCCATAAGGATCCATGTAATTTCGAAACTTCAAACAGGTATTTCTCGGAATGGCAAAAACTACACTTATGCGCCCTGTCCTACAAGCCACTCAAATATTATAAGCTCATTTACTCATTCGCTGATATCTGTTGCTGATTGCACACGCGATCCCTGAAAAATCCATGATATTCATCCTGCATCTCTGTGAAGCAGTGCTTCCACGTTGGCAACAACTTATGACTGGGGTGCGGACGTGTGTCAAAAGTGAATCCGAGAGGAAAGAGAGTGAAAAAGGGATAGTGGAGACTTGAAGAGTGAAGAAGTTACCAATTAGGATGGGAGAAGACCATTGTTTGGCGTAGTACTTAGAGCAGGCCACAGCCCGCGGTCGAGTACCATCTACACGGCTCCGAGGATGGCCGAGACGGGTTATGAGTCATCCGCAGGTTCAAAACACCGAAGAAGACCGCCCCGCAAGACGAGAACCGCCTCCTCTGTCTCGCGGCTTCCACGCTTCCACCAAGTCGTCGCTCCGTTCTGCCGTGCAAAGGAGAAACGCCGTATGAACACTCGAATTTCGCCAAATTTCCCTGGATCGGATATGCATTTCTGAGAAAAGTTACAAAAATTCCTTTTTGAATTTTTTTTCAAAATTTTTAAATTAAATTGCGGATGAAGTTCGCCGAAAAATCGGAACAAAATTATTCATAAGTTCTTCAGAAATTTCGTGTTTTATCGAAGGAAATATAGCAACATCTAAAGGTTCATACGGCGGGTTTCTTAAGCAGGGCAGCGTTGGTGTAAGGGCGTATCTACAGTCCCACTGGAGCTCTGGGAAACATTGAATTATGCGGTCTGCAGGGCTCTCCTCCAACCGTAGGTGCGTCTTAATTTCAGCCAAGTGACGAATCTTCTTTAGCACTTCGTGTCTCCGTTCTATCTAACATGAACTGAACAGTCAGCTTCGGAATCAAATTCTCAAAATTCATAATGCACCATAATTCACACCAATTTTTTACGCGTTGTAATATGCATAAAAATTGAGTCGATCTCTGATAAAGCAACTATTTCGACGCGTAGGAAGCGTTTTTGCCTATGCGGAAAAATGAAGGCAAATCATTTTCTGTTGCTCACATAGCATCTAACGGTTTCGAGCGCCGTTCATTGCCTTCATTTTGTGGAATAGGCAAAAAGTATATCTTAATCTTCCTAAAAGTCGTATCACCAGGAATTGGCACTTGTTTCTTTCAAGTCATTCGAAGCCTCAGGTTCGACGACCGAAAAATCCTCACGAAACGTCGTGCATCAATCAAAAGTATCTTGACGGTAAGATACCAATACTACTTGGACCAAGATAAGCAGAAAGGAACCAAGCCACGTCAGCCGTTGCTTAATTGACGTATCTCTATCAATCGGAACTATGTGCATGAAGACATGAGCCCTGAGACCCATAAGAATACACGCATAACAGGGCTCACGTCATAATGGACATAGTTCCTTTTGATAGAAATACGTCCAAATTTATTAATTGTTTACATGAAAACGGTTTTGCAGATTTTTGTGCAAATTTAAGTGAATTTTCTGCAAATCACGAAGAAAATTCCGTAAAATGTTCAAAGGGATCTGCACAATCGTTCTCTTGTAAAAAATTACATTTTCCAGTTGAATTTGGCAATAGCTGATGGCTTGGTTCCTTTTTGCTTAATGCGGTTCACTTAAGCCCAAAATCACTCATGTTCCGCCAACTATATATAGTTCCCTAACTATACTATATTATAACGTGTAACCCCATTATCCATGCCGCAATTTTTCACCCTCTTGGTTCAATTATTATGCGTTTCAGATCATTTCTTTGGAAGCAGAGAATGTAGTAGGATGCGGCGTTTGGGGCTCTCTCTTACGGTGGCGATGACCAGCCTGGCCACCCACGTGACCTCCTCCCTGGCAGGGCTCACCCTTGAGCGGCGGTGCGGCGAGGACAAGCTCGTTTGCCCCAAGTACAACTACTGCTCCCAAAACGAATTCTGCAGCCCGTGCCAGAAAATCTGTGATAAAAATGATAACAACTATTCGCCAACTCTCTGTGAAACTCAGTGCCAAGGTAAGGAACATCTTATTTCAACCCCCCAAATCTTCCCCCTCATCCTCCATAAATATGTTTAATTATTGAGTCAAGCTCAGAGCAACTATTTCGACACGTGTAGGAAGTGTTTTTTGCCTATGCGACCAGGGCCGGATTTACCAATAGGCTACATAGGCTATAGCCTAGGGCGCAATATTCTGAGGGGCGCAAAATTTGTGAAAATTTATTAAAAAACGTATTTTCCAAAACCAACTTGCAAACGTAAACGTACCTCAAAACTGTTTAAAATCGTGTTTTTTTAAGGGTGAATTTGAATATTTTCCGGACACATAACATCCTCCTTCTGATCAGGAGGAAAGGAGCGCCCCCCCCCCCGAGAGCGCCTACTCTAGTTTAGCCTAGGGCGCTAAAAATGTAAATCCGGCCCTGTATGCGACAAAATGAAGGCAATTAACTCTCAGTTCTGGCAATGACTGTCGAGAATCACTTGGTCAAAGCTCTGAAGAAAAAAAAACTGCTGAAACTAAAAAAACCTACGAAGGTTCAAACCCTCTTCCCGTCATATTTTACGTTATCAGTTCAATAGAGATTCTATAACGTAGGTTTTTCAGGAGTTTTTTAAGTTGCTCGTATTCGCTGTTTTGAACATTTTTAGTGGAGAACAACTACTGTATGTCTTTCAAACGCTTTATTCGCATCTCTTCAAACTCTGTAATTTTGCTGTACAAAATACCTTAAAATCCGTTTTCTTCGTTAATTTTTAATAGGAGGTTTTCATTTTTTCATGTTTTTTTTTCGTTAAAAAAGAAATTTATACTTTTCTGAAAGTTTTTTTGTAACAATTGTTGCCATTAGAGCTCCTGGGATCTAGCAAACCAAAAATCGCTCCTCAAAGTTTCCACTATGCAGTTTCTTCGTCAAATTTAATGTTTTCAGAGGGAAAATAATCAGCATTTTCTTTTCAATTTTCTCTGATTTTTTCTCGTCCTACACGTTTGTTTCGATTCTTTTTCATCGCCTCAATTTTTAACTCGATATGATGATTCACCGACATTGAATGCAACATTCCTTCACGGTCAAAGGAAGGAATGACCAGAGTAGGGTCATTTTCTTCCCCCACAAGTACACACCATCCCTCACCCTCCACGCTCAATTTGTTTGACCTCCTCGCGATTTGATCGTTAGGGATTGCGAGCAACGTAGTCAACTAGCGAAAAAAAATTACTGCTCTTCTACGAATCATAAATCCGGCCCTTAATTTACGCAGTCCGACAAACCACTCCTCAATCATTGTAGCCAAATTTTGTCGATCGAACCACTTATTTCCACAGCAATTCAATTAGAAACGTGAAAATTCCCTTCAAATCCGGCAGCTGCAGTTTTAATAGTACTCATTACCAAGGCGACCGACAAACACACCTGCGGACTCGCAGAGAATCTGAATCGATATCTAAACGCCTGGAAAGGCTCACGAACGGTCGGTCACGCTCGGAACGCGACGAAAGGCTCAACTTCGTTATCAGTGCACTCGATCGCTCGTGATTCTTACGTGAGCCCCCCGCGTGACGTCAGTCGGACGATACTTACAGCCGTGTGTGGGAATTACGAGCGTCCCTCACTTCGGACCCTCAAGACGTGGCATTACTTATTCATAGTGAGGTTATCCGTCGTGAAACTATGACTCAGACCTTGAGGGGGGCACCGGAGGGGGAGGAGGGGTACCTGGGGAGAGGGGGGGGGGCACTGCACGGGGCGCTTACCCTTTCGTCTCGACGAGTTACGGCGGGAATAAAAATTCACGCGACCCAGGACAGGTGGCCGAATGCTTCCACCGGAATTTAAGAGGGTGCATGGTCGTTGGTCAAGTAGCCCTATCAGATCAGAACCTCTTCAATCAGTAACCATTGCTGATTGAAGAGTTTCCTCTCTTCATCCGAAAATCGGATATAAAATGAAAAAAAAGTGCCTCGACTATTCTTCGATATTAAGGAGGAGACCTTTTTGCGCTACCGTAATGACCGTTTCATGAAGGATCGTCGAAGATCTCCACAGGATGACTTTCCATGCCACAAATGATTTTTTTAGTGATTATGAGACAAAATCCTTATCATGATAATCGCTGCGCACATTTCTCCAAAGGACGTGAAAAAAATGTGAAATCGTGTTAAGCTGCGCGACTCGGTTGAATTCAGAGGCACCTAAGAGTGAATACGTCTTTTTTCTTGAAAACGACTAAGTTGACAGCATGTTGAGATCATATTGTTACCAACATGATCTGTTTCGGACCAGGTTTCAATAGGTTGATAATTTGGTATCATCTTGGTGAAGAAACCTCTATGAACCTGGTGTGTTACCTTGTTTGTCTCATCGTGGTAACATACTCAACATGGTACCGCATTGTCAACATAGCACTTTTCACACCATGCAACTTTGTCGCTTTTAGCACGTACCTACCCTTTTAGGGCGTGTACCCGAACACATTGGTTCACAAATGATCCTCCATACTTACAGTCCCACTCTTCAACAGCGCAACACAGAATATATTCTTCTTCTTATAAAATTAGGTTAAACAAGACCTGTATCGTCGTTTCAAATAGGCTTAGGGCGTTTCCTTGATGAAATTTGAATAAAATACGGGACGTAGGTCATGTCTCTCAAACAGAGGAAGAGAGACTAAGGACGGCGCACAAAAGGAGCGAGTCAGTGGGAGAAACCGAACCACTCGTGTAAACTTTGAAAGCTGAAACGCGTAAGTTTTAAAGCGGTTCCATTAATTAATTCGTAAATTTTTTTAAAGAGACGCCCATTGAAATTTATATTGTCACCAAGTAAATGTTAAATTTTCCAGTTTTAGGGGGAAAAAAATCACTTTTGATCCCTCCAGAAGGGTCGATCCACTGTGCGACGCGCGGTGCGGCGGCGCGCGGCGTCTGGTTCTGGCCAACGGCGTCTGATGGTGGGCGTCATGACAACTGAACAACGTGACGTTTAGATCAGAACTCACACGCCCATTCTGCCGTGTTAAATAGAAACGCCGTATGAACATCCGGACATTGCCAAATTTCCTTCTAAATTTGTCAGATATTTCAGATTAAAAGTGCAAGGGAAATTTTCTGAAAAATTACACAAGAAAATTCATTTTTCATCGAAGAAACTTGGCAAAAATGGAGGGCACATATAATGTTCTTCTTTAGCACACTTAAACACTGAGCAGGTGTGAAGCTAGTTATATTTTGAGAGTTTTTTGTTGTTAAAACTGCAAAAACGCGTATCCCGTTTACAGTTTTTCGAAATCTCATTGACTTTCAAAATTAGCCTGATGAGGACTGATGAATGTCGGGGCGAGTACAAATACCTAATCAAACCCTTTGCTCATCAGTCATCATTAGGCGAATTTGAGCGTTTTCTCTGAACGTCACTTTCACAAGGGGAGGATAACAGTGCGACGGGGTTTTTAAAATATGCTGTTTTTGCATAGGTAAGCGGATTTTTAGTGTTTAGGAGTTTCGAGCCTGTGTAGGTATGTTACAGCAAAATGATCGCGGATTTACTGCGCATGTTACAGCTGAATTTTACTGTCCGAAGCGACTAGGCATGGGCAAACTCGTAAAAACCTCCTGATCGCCAAGCGACTGATAAAAGAGTTCTAGTCGCTGATAATCGGTGACAAATAGGAGAAAATAATGGCATGTGTTGCCAGGCAATTACATAGCGACAATAAAGAAGGTTGGGCATTCAATTTACGCGATATTGCCGTTCATTGCAAATTTTGAAAGAAGAAAGTGCTTTCGTCTGATTAGCGAAACTGTATGGGTTGGCACCAATGGATCAGTGAGTCGCAGCCGCATTGAACGGTTTTGTTGCCGGAGTTGAGAAAACTGAGTGAGTTTTAAAGGATTAACTATATTCGGTAGTTCTAGGCCCAGCATGTTTTCGGCAATGGTAGAAATTGAGCTTTGTTCCTGATTTTTGCCTACGCGTGTTCACCGCGCGGTCTGTTGTTATCTTTCACATCTCATAGCTTGCTTCCGTATGAATGTAGCTTTGTCACGCCAATTAGATTAATAATAATTAAGCAGGTAGTCCTAGGCAAAACTTTGCAGGAGTCACGCGTTGGACCTTCTGACCAGAAGTGGATCCAGCAATTTGGCAACACCGGGTTCCCTCTATTTAAACCTATGTTTAATAATCGATTCTTTTCAAAAGACCTAGCCTCTCCAGGAATCAATACATTTCCATAGACAGAAACATTTCCATTTTTAATTGGAGAAAAACAATGTTTCCAATTTTCTGGATCCACCGATGCTTCTGACAAGGCCCGGATGATCACTGACTAGGAGGCAAAACATTGAATTTAAAATCGTGAAAAATCATTTACTCCTCTTTCATTAGTGGGTTTAAAAAGGTGTTCGCCGTAAGTTTAATGCAGCACAATTTCAAAGAATCTAATGCTAATCTAATGAATAAGGTCATCGGGAACCCTAACATCCCTTGCGTTTAAGTCTCCAAGAAATCCATCCGCAGGTCAGTGTTGCGATTCGCGCGAGTTGACAAGTTTTTTCCCCTCCACTCACACGCATTTGAAACATCGTATGTTAGTTGAGGAGGCCTTTCTTATCGAGGAATCAGTATTTAGAATAGCTTTAAACGGAAGAAAAACAAATGCCACCAACTCGCGAGAACCAATTCTGCCCTAGGATAGCAAAGAACTCCTGCACGGAAGACCCACTTTTCCTTGCATATATACTGATGAATTTCTAACGCCTTTATGACGCTCCGTAACGCTGCGTAAAGTCTATCATAAATTCTTCACGTAAGTTTGTAAAGCTCCTCGGATCATTTGACTCAACTCGATAAAAACCGTTTTCCTAAAAAAAAATTGCCTCCGGGTCCTAGGACCCCTTTTTCGGTTGACGGCCACGTTGCTGGTGGGATGCTGCCGATCTTATCTTGCATATTAATTTTTCTGACTGCGAATTGGAAGTATTTATGCTAAAACGAACTATGTTACACACAAA